GCGTGGGGTTTTCTCTGGGTGTAAACACTCATTAATAGTCCGATAAAAACCTGAACATATAGAGGACCGCAGAGCTTTGGAAATTGTTGGTGCTGTCTCACTGCGTCGCTGTCTTCCCTGCTCGTCTGTGGTTCCTCCTCGCGCCACTGAGTGGTTCTCTCTCTTCCAGGGTGAGTGAGTACTCTGGGACGCCACGAGTTGAAAGTTGTTTATACGTTGTACGTTGTAATCCCGCTCGAGCATAAATCATTGTTCCTCACGCCTTCATCACTTACGCTTTCAGACATCTGGACAGGAACGCTGTCTAGCTTAGCGGCAGTCAGCATGATTTCCAATTGTTTGTAATTGTTCACAAGGTTATGATCTGGCAGATGTTTGATGTTTTTTTTGCCGGAAATCACCAAAGCGTGGCGCCTACTCCTGTAGATTTGGCTTTAAAACACTGGTGACATGATTCGCAAATGAGATACTAAAGTTGAAATATTATGCATGAAAAACCCTTATGTAAATACGTCTACATAAATCATACCACCCACATCTCCCATGTTTAATATTGCACGTGCATTTTGCGTGTTTACATTTGTATCATGCGTAAGGAACTCATCAAATAAACAAAATCGCTGTCAGGAGAGACCAAATTTCTGATCAGTGTGTCTGCTGACGTTTGTGTGCGAGGGACGATGTGTTATTCATGATGAATTCATCATCCAAAAGTAATCATCCCTGCAATATGATAATTGGTTCTTTACCCTTCTATCTGGCAACAAAACTGACACCTTTTTGCAAGGAGTCATGTTTGCATAGACCGCAATACCTGCAGTCATAAATACAAACAAAAGACATAACTCTGATAATGTGCACTGTCCTTGAAGTTGATTGGTCCACACCCGAGACAGCTTTCCTTCGAGCCTAGTCTCATATGGGTTGGACCAGATGACGCCAAAAGGCGCACAACTCAAGGACAATGCACCATCAGAGTATGAGAGCTCGGGGCAAGCATCTACACTATGGGGACCTCATTTGCCAGTAAAAATATGATAATTGGTTCTTTACCCTTCTATCTGGCAACAAAACTGACGTTTTCTGTTTTGCCAGTGAAAACAGCTCTCTTTGAGACTCGTGTAATAATTCCGAAATACGATGGATAGTTATTTCGGTTTTTCAATAGTTTTCGTGGAACGGATTAAAAACGTTGACCGAGGGACTACTCAATTATATTTTTTCGTGCCACGAAAAAGATGAAAAAAATTTCATGGAGTATTTTATTTTGCTGTACTTTTTAGAGGAATTAAGTGAATTTAGTTTTATTGTTGTGGAGTGCCATGCACGTATATGTTCGGTTATCCATGTTATCGATGTCATGGAGATTACATTTTTTACTGAATTTAAACGAAACTATTTTTATTTTACCAGGCATAGCCAAACTGAGCTATATAGCGCTTTTTCAGAAGCGACCTGGCTACAAATGATAGCTCAACGAAGTCGCTTATCATGTGGACATTTATAGCAGCAAATACTCTAAATGTATGTTTCTAAATGTGGAGGGGAAACCCAGAAAACGCTGAGAAAAATCCACACGACCACGGGTAGAGAGACACACAAACTCCAACTATACAGCAGGCATCAGGGTTGGGATCGAACCCACAACCTCCTGTATAGCAGGCGAGATAGTCAACATTTGCCACCTTAGCACCCACATTTAAAACCATTTAATCAAGAAATGCATTCAAACTTAACAATTTGGTGTTTGAATAAATGCATTTAGAGCAAACTAAAAAAAAAATGTTGAGTAATTTATATTACAGTACGAATCGTTATACACCAATTTATTACGAAAGTACAGCATATTTATTCAAGAAAAAATTGGAGTTGATTAGACAGTTCCAAAAATGATATCTTAATGGCCAATTGCGTTAAAACAAACCTTTTTATGCCTTTTATCTTTTAATGCCTAACAGACAAACCATATTAAAACTTATATTCAAGGTCTTTAATGAAATCTGCCTCATGAAACATCTTTACAACTGTTTATTTGTTTAATTAATGCATTTAGGACACAGTGACTGAAAAGTATAATTAACTTTAATTGGTATAAGTGGAGTAATTTCAGCAATTCAGTGCATTTTCTACGTCAGTCGCAGAGTAGGATAATCTACACCGCCTTCATGAATATAAATTACGTGTCATTCGTATTCACCTTTATTGAATAATTACGGAGGTATAAATACTCTATGTTATAGTTTTGAAAGGGATGTTCTTTTAGAACCAATTTTCACAGCCTATCATATTCAAATACACAATTCTTACATGTGCAAAAATGAACATTTTAAAACTCAGTGAATGACTCTAAATCAGCAATAATATTTTTCGTGATTTTCAGAACTGCACTGAGGATTGAATAAGGAGAAATATGTTTTGTGCAGAAGTGTGGTCACCACATCTACGCCTCTATATAAGGAACGAAACAGTTAGACTTTTCCACAAATCTGGCTGTCGCCTGATGAAGCTAGTTGTAATTATTGGCGAAACGTCGTACTTAGATTGTAAATGTCGTGGCTTGGCTCTCCAACACACCGGTGTGCTGTACTAGTGACGAATTGGCATGTTCTTATTACGTGACAACCCTTACTAGTTGGCTGTATCGGGTGGTGGCGGGTTTTAACGACACATTTATATATGTATGCGATCTAACCTGGCTGATATTGGTCGCGAAAGCCTAAGTGTTTAACTTGTATGGGATAATTTAATTTACGGATGTCCCATCATTCACAAAATAACGTGACAAGATAAGTCACATTTTGAGTGATTTGGTAAATAAATCAGACACCATTGTAATTCATATATAAGTGGAGTTATTTCTCAAATGTTGTCTCAGTGGGCTCTCTCCTGCTGTAAATAAAATTCACATGTTGGTGGTGGAGTGGTTAGCACGCTGTGCTAAGAACTCGATGTTCTAAGTCTGATCCCCAGCCAAAGCGAATATGAGTCGTGAGTCAAATCTAAATTGGACTTGGTTCTCTCCCCCTAGCGTGCTGAAGTATGGTTAAACAACCCACCACGACCGTCTGGCAATTGTGGAAGACGAGGCAAAAAATAACCTCTGATGGAGGTCCTTCTGCCAACAGTTGGTGTGAATAGGAAATTGTCGGGTGGCACCGTCACCTTCACACAAAAATATGGAGGGCACTTTGTGGTGTTTAACACTACAGCCACTTACGGGGATTTAAAGAGAGAGAAACATGTAGGGCACGTTTTGAGGTGTTTGAGATTTTTTTTGGTAGGGTTTCTACCTTGTGTTTCTACCTTGTGCTGAGCTTCAATTGCAGTATACTGTACGGTTTTTGATAAAACACTATAAATACACGCAAAAAACTATATATTTTTTAATTTAACCAGATAAGGCCCATTGAGCTATATTGCTCTTTTCAGAAGAAACCTGGCCATAAATGATAGCACAATTAAGTCGCTTATCATGTGGAAATGTATAGCAGCCATATACTCGAAACGCATGTTTCTAAATGTGGAGGGAAAAACCAGAGGACCTGGAGAAAAATCCATGAATCAGCAGAGGTCATTAAAATCTCGCCACCACGACGCCCTTTGGCCCAGGTTGACTGAGATATGTCTGGGTTTGGTCCTGAGGGTGGTCCAGCTGGCTTGTGACCTCCAATTAATTGACCCCTTACATTTTTTAAATGTTTTTAAGAAACTTTACTTAAAACATATTTAGTTGCAGAGAATTAAATGGGGGTAGGGGGTGGGTGTCACAAGACATCTGGGCCACTTTGTATAGTGGACAAAAAGGTGGTGAACCTTAGTTGGAGGTGATTGTGAAGTTGGAGGCGTTTTACACGGTGGTCACAAAGGAGCTGAACAAAAACGAGACTTTGTGGGGCGTTAAATATTGGAGGTGTTCCAAGTGGTTTAGATGTTTTAACACCGGGGCCACTGAGGAGATCACCATACTAGACGTTGGGTGACACTTTTTATTAGGTCCTATTGGGGAAAATGTGGCTGAGGTAAAATTAATAACCACAGCCACTGAGGAGATCATCATACTAGACGTTGGGTGACACTTTTTATTCAGTCCTATTGGGGAAGATGTGGCTGAGGTAAAATTAATAACCATAACCACTGACTGAGGAGATCACGACAAAAACCGCCCACGCACACAGACGGACGGGGGGGGGGGTCGTCACTTCATGAGGCGATTTTATTATTAAATGTATTAACTTAAAAAACCCAGCACCACGGTGCGCCTGGGGACGTGGAGCCCTGTCCAAGCGTGTGAGATAGCCGTGGGAATCCCCTCACTGCCACCGGCGTGGTTGTGCAGCATCAACTCTGGTGGTGTGTGGGCGGGCAAGGGGGGTTCAAGAGAGCCCTCTCCGCCATATTGTGGCGCGCGCTCCTCCGTTTCCCGCCACCGCCCCCCCCACCGCGCACCCCCCCCACCATCACCCCCCCCACCACCATCCCCCCCCACCGCGCCCCCCCCACTATCCCCCCCACCGCGCCTCAACCCCCCCCCCCACCGCGTCCCCACCCCCATCACCCCCCCCCCCACCGCGCCTCACCCCCCCACCACCATCACCCCCCCACCACCATCACCCCCCCCCACCACCATCACCCCCCCCCCCACCATCACCCCCCCACCACCATCACCCCCCCCCCCCACCATCACCCCCCCCCCCACCGCGCCTTACCCTCCCACCGCGCCTCACCCCCCCATCACCCCCCTCCACCCCCCCCCTCCACCGCCCCCCCCTCCACCCCCACCGCACCACCACCACCACGGCCTTCCCTCGCCCTGCCGGCCACGGTCAGTAACGGGCCCTCCGTGTGCCTCGCAACCCGTTTCGATTCACTAAACGCCCTGGGCTCAGGCAGGACGCCGCGCCACACACGCCACGCAGAGACCCGGCGCCCCGTCGCTTCTCTTTGGCGTGCGACTCGGGCACCTCGCGAGGGGCGGGCGGGCGGGCGGGAGGGTGGTAGGGAACTCGCGGACTTTCCCGGCTTTGGAGCGAGGGGAGCCGGCGCGCGATTCTAGTCGAGGACGGGGGGTCCGCGAAGCGCTCGCGTCTCGGCTAGGCCGCGCCGGGGATATTTTAGTGAAGAGGAGGACTTGGCGCTCTTAAAAGCACACTTAAAGACGGTGGGACAATGTTTTGATGTTGTTATCTTTGTTCAATTAGTCGTAGCCAGTTAGCGTGGATAAAGATAACAAGTTGGATGTGTGTTGTAAATGCGTTTTAGTTCGAGGTGTGCCCTATACTGTATAGTTTTTTTTAAGGTCGCGTGGTGTCTGCTGTTGAATGACGGCGAATTGCAGCAGTGTTTGTATATTCTCGTTAGCTAGGTTTGTATGTTATTATTATGAGGAGCGTAACGCTATTTTATAATAGTGTTTGTATTTATAGAGATTGGTTGTATCGATTATAAACGCTTGGCTTAAATTGATAGGTTGCGAGTTTAAATCTGGGTTGCGGCTATACGTCAGTAATTACATTCGGTATTGGTAAAATGCGTACCACTATTTTAAGTGGAACGTCAACAACGGTGGTAGTCGTCTCATTGAGACCGGGGTCTCCTTCCATGAGAATGTTGGAAGTTCAATCACTGGATCAGGACCACAACGTGTGCCATGGATGGTCATTTCAGCAGAGACTGACTTTATTGAATTAGTAAAGTTACAAGCAGTGTCTGATTAACCGTTTACAAGATGTACAAACCTGAAGTTATGTTACCACTCAGCAGAGTAACATAATTTACACGTTCTATTCGATTATTTGAAGTTTTGTTTACTTTGTAATTCGTGACTTTGCAAACCATGTAAATCCAATTTGTTAGAGTACGGATTGTTTGTTGCCAAGGGGAGATCTTAATCCAGCAATGGACTGATCATGACCGATCATTATAATTATTATAGCTGCACGATGTGTTTTCAGGTTGTACCCGCGTGTCGTTCGGAATTGCCTTGACGTTTCACTCCACGTGCTGTGAGCTTCTTCGTGTTTCGCTATATAATTATACTGTAAGGTCCCAAAGAAGCTCCCAAACACATGGGAGCGAAACGTCGGACATCATGCCGAAGAAAGCACTGGGTAACAATCCGAAAGAGAGCTATTACAGGACTACCTCGAAAAAAATAGTCTATGCAATAGAGGTACTGTATATGGCAGTTGATTGTCAATGTTTGTTGCCAATGTACCAGTCCAGGTCACAGTGGGCGAGCGATGTCTGCGCCCGTGGCGAGCCGAGCGCGTGTATACACGGACGTGAACACGCATCGCCCGCGCGAGTACTGGGACTATGAGTCACACGTGGTGGAGTGGGGGTGAGTACCAGATCGTATCATCATCATCACCACCACCACCATCAACCACCATCATCTCATGCATCCGTCCCTTCATGTGTCCACTCCCCACCCCCTTACCCCGCCGCCTTGCCTCTGGATCACACAGCAAACCACAATTGTCTTGTGACATACAACAATATTGATACTGCATTGACAGGCCGAGGATTTGTTCAGATGTTACCCCAGCTGTGGCTGGGAATCGAGTTGTGTTTTTTTATGAAATCAAATACACAATTTTTTTGTCAGTGTTGTCATATTTCATTTTGTGTAATCCTTATCTTGTATGTACCGTATGTTGAACTTCTTTAGCACCATACGTAGCCAACCGTGCTAAGCCGAACAACTTCTTCAATCGACGTTTTCATTTAAAAATAAAAATAATTCTTACGTATTTTCTCTTATGGGATTCCCACTTTATGGAAAGGCAAATTGTGGTTGCCCTTTGGCTTTGGGCCAATAATTGAGGAAGAGCACTGCCTCATGCTCATTTTAGCTGGGAGATAATGACTTTTTTTGTTCACAGTATTTTAAATATCTGTGTACTGCCTCTTAAAGTGGTAATGATTGTTAAACACGCACAAATACACATACTTGACTCCAGAACAACTCTACTGTAATAACCAGTCATTCACTATAACATTATTCCAGTGTTGCATTTCTTCTTATTGATTTAATTACAATTACTCTTGAAAACATGTGGCAATTTGGGGAAAACTACTCACGGCTGAGACAGCCTTCAGCAACATGCAACGACATGTTTATGTGTTGGTGATGCAAATATCTCTTGACTTTGTTGTCATTACTTTGGAATCCCTACTGCTTCATGTTAACTTTGCAATCAAATACGTCTGGGTAATCTTGGTAATCTGTTAAGATGCGTGGTTTTATGTGCCAATAGTTTGCATATTTATGATTTCCAGAGTTGTAAACTGGTATGTATATCAATGTTTTTAATATTAAAACTACTGTATACCAAAACGTAAGATAAAACATTTAGTTCTAAAGCAATAATATTCATCTTGAACTACCATTTATATTAATACATTTGTTTCATTTTGGCTGGTTATTATGGATAGTCGGGCAAAAATACATTGAGGAATCATTTCACGATTCAGATATTTAATTTCTGTGTAAGTATAAAAAAGCCAAGAAAGCTGGAAAAAACACAGCAGAATATGTATATCTAGAGCATTTATTGAAGGTAAATCGGGATCAAAATCATGAAATACAGAGGTAGATAACTTTTGCAAAGCTGGATTTAATAATTAAAAACTACACGTGAATTTACTTGAAGTTGAACATTTTCAGTCAGGGCAAATACCCACTATGACGTGGGTCTCAAAATGGACACTTGACAAAAAAAAACAAAAGAGCATGTTAAAAGTGCAAGAAGAAGCACATGAAAATGCACACTTGGAATTGCACTGAGAGACAGAAAGAGGACCACATGAATCAAACACAAATCCCATGTATAATATTGACTATTAAGGAAAGTAAGTGGACTTGCACAGGATGCATGATGATGATAATGGGTGATGGATAAAACTGGTGCTGGAATGGCAGACAAAGGAGAGAATGCTCCCCCCAAGAAGATGACCACCATGGAGATGGAGCAATGGGATAAGTTCATGTGCAGGATTAAGATGGAATTCATGGCATCGCAAGACTCCGGGATGTGACAGCTTGTGGGGAGGTCTTCATCCACCAGTTAGAAAGAATGGCTGCTGATGATGATGAGGCCATCGAGACCAAAAAGGCCACACTTTCCAAGAAGGGCCTTGGTTTAATTAAATACAGTCATATAGTAGCTCTTATAATTCTCATGCAGAATTATTATATTATTGTCATTATATTCATTACAATTTTATCAAATAGTTCATCCAAGTAAAAGGTCAGCTCTATGGAAGCATTGTACAGCGGTTATCGGTGTTTCAGTGATTAACCTTGCCGCCCGATTCAGGGACATGATTCGATTAAAAAATCCATTCTTAACATTGTGGTGAATGTAGTGGCCTCTAGCAGTCTCCTCTTTAACTTCAAATGTAGACTCTAGGGTGCACAAAATTCTATGTGGTATTATTCAAAGTTGGTTGATGCAATGGCTTGTCATTAATATTACTTGAAGGTCAGAGGTGTAAGGCTCTTAATTTTCACGCTGTTTCCAGTATGACCATATTTCACATTTTTATTAATTAAAATGAGCAGTAGCTTGTATAAAAATATATACACATTCTACATTACATTTATCTGTAAATGTATGGTCACGAACACATTACGAAGATGGTTTGAATTTAAATATGTATATTATCTCAAAAAAAAAATTTTCTGCACATTGTTGTAAGCAATTAGACAAGCAACACTTGCTTATTTTTCTAAATAATTTAGACATTCTTCACATACATTTTTCCTGCATTCACTTTAAGTTTTCATTTTATTTATACGTATATGAATCTTTAACCAGGATAAACACCCTTGAGATTTACATCCCATTCCAAGGATTTCCTGGCAAGATGGCAGCAGTACTGATATCAGTTTCACAGCAAACAATTAATAACAGACAAAGGAAAATATGAAAATAATATACATTGGTACTCAATAATATTTTTAAAATGTAACTATATTCATGGACAATGTATGACATGGAAGAAAATAACCTAATGGAACAATGTATACATTTTAAACCTTGTAGTAATATAATATTTTACATTTAAGACGTTACTGGATTCAGTCTGCTATTGGGATCTCATTGGTTCCATTCGGATAGTGCTGAGTAAGGGAAAGCTTTGTGGTGCAAGGCAGAGCTGACAGGGAGTCTTTCGCATGAGAAATGTCTCTGAGCTTATAGCATGCTTACAATTCATGTGAGCCAGGTAAGGACAGAAATATGGAGGCAATGGGCCATATACACCTGGATGAAAACGAGGCAGTGCAATTAACATTGACTTTCCAAATGATTATTGTGTCATGTGGAGGGATTCATCTTCTTGGTTTTTTCGGTAAAGTCACGTAGAAGGGAAATAATAAAATAAGAAAAATAAAACATAATACAATAATTCTCACGACGTTTCGGCTACAACGCAAGCAGCCGAAACGTCGTGAGAATTATTGTATTATGTTTTATTTTTCTTATTTTATTATTTCCCTTCTACGTGACTTTACCGAAAAAACCAAGAAGATGAATCCCTGCAGTCACGAAAGCTTTAAATCGAAATGTGGAGGGATGGCAATATATTTGTAACGTTTATTTATATATCAAGTAACAAGAGCTTCAGGAGATGTCATGTGAATTTCAGAGATGTTTCGGGGGATGTTGAGTACAGTGGACATTTGTTCACGAGTGTCCCGGAGCCTCCATTTGTGCACAACCATCCACGTGCTGTATCTTTGTTATTCACGACTCTCCACTATTGCCGACAGTCGCATCAGCTTTGGAGCTCCTGTTTTTCACCTCAGCGGGCATCCATTCATTTTGCCACGTACTAATTTACTCGTATTAAATACTTTTTAATGCAGCATTAGTATTCGTGTTTATGTTACAATTACGTTCTCAAAATGGTCAGCCATACGCAAATCCTGATGCCCACTTATAGATTGGAACCAGGCTGGTGATAATAGTGGAAGATATATTATAGGCAGATTAGGTATAACAATGAATGTCTTCGGAGCAGGTTTGACAAACCACTTCCTATATCTATACAGGAAACCCAGTTTGACTCTTGTCGTTTTTAACCAGATTGTCAATGATTTTTTTACATTTCACAAAGAGCCTCGGGTTCAGGCCCAGTTACTTTTCAGTGGGTCGCTGCTGTGTAATGGTCAGAACACTCCACTTGCAATTCAGAAATCTCCTGTTCAAGCTCCCAGCAAATAATAGGCACGTAATTTTTTTAATCATCCCCCACCTCTGTCTACACAGCAGTATAAATGGGTACATCACACATTTAGTTGATTGGCAGGGTACATGTGGTGGGATAAAGTGTGGGCACTTCCACCTCTTGAAAGACATCTGGCCAGCGTGGAAGAGTAGGCCAAATACTCTCTGAAGAGGTATTCTTGACTTCTCTCTCTAGTTGAAGCCCCCTCTTCCCAGAGACTAACTGCAACCTTAACTTTTTATTTTCCCTTGTAGGTATGAACAATCTAGAATTTATGTGCGTTGTTTGAATTTTTAAACATTTACAAGCATTACATTGGAATATGCTTCCCATTTATATGCAAAGTAGCAATTGTGGAAACTTTTAATACGTTCTGAATTCTATGGGGTGCAGAATTGTCCAAGATGTTTTTTTTTTTTTACGAATGGAGATGAGATGTGTGAAGTTATGCAAATACAGCAGTTTGTGTTGGGGACAGCTATTTCTCTGTATAGCTGTTTGCCTAACAATTAATATAAACAAAAAATAATGACGCCATAAAATCCATAAGAGTTTTTTTGGGTTAGATCGCATAAATTTAAATGTGTCATTAAACCCGGAACCACCCAACTCGGCTAATTAGTAAGGTTTGTGACGTAAACAGAACATGCCAATTCGTTACTAGTACAGGCACACCAGTGTGTTTGAGAGCAAACCCACAACATTTACAATTTGAGTTCGACGTTTCGCCAGTAATTACAACTAGCATCATCAGGTGACAGCCACAGATCTGTCTGTCACCACAGCATGCTTCTATAGAGATTACCGTTGGTATTTTAAGACAGGAAGGACAAGATCAAAGGGCTCGCATAATGCACATGCATATGCATATAATGTACGTTGACTCAGCAATCCCCCTGCCCCCCCACTTTGCGCAAGAGCGCAGAAACGTGGTCAACACATCTACGCCTCTATATAAGGAACGAAACAGACTTCTCCACAAATCTGGCTGTCGCCTGATGATGCTAGTTGTAATTACTGGCGAAACGTTGTACTCAAATTGTAAATGTTGTGGGTTTACTCTCAAACACACCGGTGTGCTGTACTAGTAACCACAATTGGCAT